AAAATGTAGAACAAAGCAGGTGTAAACTAGCTGGCTTACAGTTTCTAAACTAAAATACAAACTAGACTAAGACTGAAAACATGTTGGTTGGTGCAGCATAGCTGCATGATGTTAGTATGGAATGGCAGATTGCAGCATGACTGCAACTGGAAAGTATAGGCAGCGAGTGCTGCGGCTACACCATGGTTATGCAGCGGGGGCTGCATGAAGTTAAGATCATAGGTGTAATCCTTTTTCAGTAATCTGTAGGTTCTAAGTTTGTTTTTATGATTTTTAGATTTATTGTCATCATACATGCTGTTTTCAGCGACTGTTTTAAAATGTTTAATGAGTTTATCTAAAATTGGATGAAGTAGACTGTAATCACATTGTGTCCATGCGTCATCAAGGTCTAGAAAGTTCAGGATGGTTTTTATTCCTGTTACCCAATTTTGTATGCCTGCATCATTTAGCTGTATGCCCAGCTTCATGAACTAATGTATTATGATCCATGTCGTTTAATCGCATCCAATATTTCAGCATTTGCCTTATACTTGAGATGGCAAGTGGAAGCCTACCAAGCTCAAGCAATGGAGGAATGGCACGGTTCAAGCCGAATGGTGGTTTGTAGTTTATTGATTGTTGTGGACCTATGATAGGTTCCAAGTTCAATTAGTTGATTTTCCATTCAACTGCGAGATCTCACGAGTTGCCTGCAAGATGTCTGCCACAAAAATTAAACAATTTGATTTTGAGCTTACCTAAAGTGATCACCTGGCAATTAATTTGAAGAAAAAAAGCCATGCATGGCACAATCCACGTTAGTTATCAAATTTAAGATATATATGATTGATTGATTGATTAATATAGTGTATCTGATAGTCAAAAAAGTACTTGTCTATATTGAGAAATATTGCTCTGGAACAGCATTAACAAGCCATGCATGGCACAGTCCCAGTTAGTTATCAAATTTAAGATATATAGTTTCGTTTATAGTAATATAGCTGGAATATAAACATGTCAGGAATATGATTATGATGATTGACATTTGTATCTGATCAACAAACGAGTATTGAGAGATGTTGCTCTGGAACAGCATTAATTAAAACAAAATCAGCCATTTTGAATATATGTATAATGAATATATAAAATTCAGTCTAAACATGTCAGAGATAAGGCTCTAGAAGCCCATTCATTACACGCACACACAGGTGTACAAGGGTCAAAACATAAGTCCCTGTTAAAAAAATGTGTAATTTTGTTTTGTCTCACCTAATGGTTTGAGGGCATATCTCCAGGTATTGAAGACTCTAGCAACCCCAGCTAGCGAAAGTACTCTGGTTTCGGCCCACTGTTTCTCTGCAGTATCTCTAGAGTGGTGAATGAGGATATTACCAGCAGACATCTCACTTTTATCTGTCGATGCAGCCCCTGAAAATTTGTGTACTCTATCCAGTAAAGGAAATAACACCTGAAATAAAATATTAAATGTATAATCTTTTATTCTCAGTGAAATACTTTTTCAGATAGCAATTGTGTTGGTAAATATTAAGGCAACAAGCCATTGTCAATTACAAGTCCCAGTCTAGTTTTTTTTAGATTTGTGCAATATCTTAATCTTAATGCACAAAAATGACAATCAGACATCATGATTCAGATTCTGAAACAGATTCATGTGCATAAAATTAATTAAATAATATAGTTTGAATGAAATATGTCCATGCACGACTGAAATCCAGTTTTGGAATGGCAGAAATGCTTGATTTTGATCACGCTTAGATTTTTACCACTAAAATGGAGGCCATTCGGCCATCTTTATTTGGATCACTAAACAAATGCATGCGCAAATGTATGATATGATGTGTGATTGTGAAATTTCAACGAAATTGTGCCAGGCATGTCTGAGATTTATTCAGGTACAAATAGTCCACACGAATGATGGATGCACACACAGAGGAATAACTATAAGTCCCCTATTTTGGACTACATACGAACGAAGACAGAATTACAAATACATTAGTTTATTGATTGTCAGGTTATGAATGGAGTCCACAAAGTGTATCTACACATTGTCAACACAGTTAATATTTGTACGCTGCTTGTGAGTCTAACAAATGAGATCGCCTTACCTGCCATAGTACAGTCTGCCAGGTCAGTTGATCCAACAAACTACCATGTGCACTGATAGTTGAAAATAAAGTCTGACCAGCTGATTTCCTGACTGCCGGTCTAGGATCCACGCACATGTCAGCAAGTTTGGAATACAGACACAGCCACAGTGTATCAGATGGCGGTAGACGACCAAGTTTACTGTCTTCTTCCACATCACCAGATGTCTTCCTATTTTCAGCTTCTTTCTCTAAGACCACTTTAATCTTGTTCCTGTTCTGGTACAAATAATCTGCAATATTCCACTGAAAGATGAAAACAAAATTATCAAACTTGGACTTAATCCTATAAAATAAATTGATGGTGTATCAACAGTTTTACGATCCCTATTACCAATTCTATTTGTATTGTATGCTAGATTATAATGTTTGAATAAATTTGCATGGCTTATTAGATAAACTGACCATTGTGACTGTGTTGGAGGAAAGGTTTTAATACCCTACCCCTGAATTGCAGGTTAGATAATGAGTGAATCTCTAAATTGAATTTAGCAATTGAATTTGGCATGGTATAAAATATGAATCAAAAAAAGACATCGCAAACACCATTCCCTATTAAAACACCTTAGTTTCAAAATGATGCCTTGGCATAAAACAAACTAAAAATAATTCCTTTTCATGCAGTTCTCTAGTACACTTATCCAACTCAAAATCTTGAACATAACATAAGCACATGGCCCCAACGCTATTCTGAATTGTGAGTGACACTTACCAACAAACCAATTGATGTCAGACTAATATTGAGTTCTTGGGTTTGAAGTCCAAACTTGGACGCTACTTCCACGCACACTTGTAAATACTGGGAAGGCATCATGGGTAGGAAGTCATTGACGACTAACTGAAGACTTTGAAAAGCTATGCGAATTAAATTCTCTCTGAAATATAAGAAAAGAAGACTGGATTGTCAATAGTTAAATCAACAATGGCTGCAACTATAAAGTTATTGTGAAGAAGCACTTCCTGTGTTATTTGTGCCAATTTGTAACAGCCACCGCCGAAATGTGAACATTGAAAGCATAGCATATATGTATTGGTACTAAATGTCCAACTCTTAGTTTTCAAGTCGCATTTTACGTGACATTAGCCTAGTGCAACTGTGTCAAAAACAATATTTCAGTAAGATTTGGTAATCTTTATGTGGTTATAATGTTCAAAATCACTTTAAAGAATTAGATATCCATATTCTTACTGCCAGACATATTTAGGATGTCTGATTCATATATTATAGGGCCATACATACAACTTTGCAGAGAAATGTTTTTTTTTTTTAAATCCTCTCATAATTGAAGGAGTTGTTTTTGGATGCAACAGGACAGTATGATTACCACTAGTTTCATTTGTACTTGTACAATGTAGGTTTCAAGATCCTTTTTCTAGTCTTTAACCCTTGAGTGCCGAGGTCAACATTATAGTCACCAATCATAAATAATAATTAAATCCACATCATTTTTTATAATTTTTCCATAATGTTGATCAGAACATGTAGCTTATATAAAATTATGACCATTCGATCTCAAATTATCAAAAAAAACAAAAAAAACAATGGGAAAATACATAAAAAACGGCAACATTTTTCACTAAAATTTTGTTAGGGAAAAGATGGTGCCCAGATGGTTATGGATCTATGTAGGCAGGCATCAGTATATGATGATACAAGCATGCCACTAAAATCTGGGTTACATTCCACTAAACTAAACACTTCGTTTTTTTGTTATACCATAATCTAATTCAACAAGTTACAGTGATAGGGTGTTTTCTGTTGCGGTTTCTGCTTATGGAACAAATTAAATTTTATGCATATATTAATTCTGATTAATAATATTTTTCTTTTAAATTTAAAATTTTTTTTTTAAGCATGTCTATATCAATGATCATACCGGAACTGTAGTCAAATGAAACACTTTACTGCCTTAACTAAACCACTTAGACTTACCCTTGATCAACTGTTACATCCCCAATGACACCTAGTATCAGTGGCCAACCATGTTCCAAAGTCTCACCGTTGTCTTGAATAACTTGAAGCACACACTCTAACTGTTTTTGTCTGATATCAGGATGAGATACGTTAGACAACTCTTGCAGCGGTGACAGAAGCATACCCTGGAGTTTCTGTTGAAATGTCAAATATTTACATGTGTCAATGGTTGGGAAATTAGGCACTCATAAATATATATACATTTATATATGGATTTACCCAGCAGTAATGAAGTATGACTGTATTCAAATATAAAGTTTATACTGTCTGTGGAGTGTGGGTACCATTCACACTGCAAAGCCAGCTATTAGTTTGTGTGAGCTCAAGAGAGTATTATATCATATGGTGTTGTCCACCGAATTTAATTGCATTGTATTGCATTGTGTGTCTAATATGGGTTCTATGTGACATATACCAAACGTATAAAATTCAACAGTTGTTTAATGAAATTAAAAATTTATAAAAGATATAAATGTGTTGGTTATGTGCCGGTATACTGCACTTAATAATTATTCATATCAGAAATGTTCATGATCTCTCTCAGCGGTTTCCCTATTATACAATTTTTTTGTTATGGTAGTATTAAATGCAGAAATAAACAATTTGAAAATGATATTTGAACTGCCATGATGAGAGGTTTCTTTAAAAAAATCTGCCATCATATAACAGCAAGTGTGAAAACAGCAGTAAAATACACCCTGTAAAATACACTTTATAAGTACAGCAATGAGTTTAACCTACACAGACCACACCTTCACCTGTTGCCAGTGGAGTTAAAAATACATCGCAATTTTACAAACAATTTGGTCAAAGATTAAGAGATTATAAACATCATGGTAACATAAATAATAACATGATCTGCCCGATACTCACAACCAAATACTGCCAAAATGATCTGACATCATATATGGGCATAGCAGCAATTTAAAAAAAAAATAAAATCATGCCAACATCATCGTAAATTGTACTTGCTGGTAAGCTGAATGAGTGACATGTGGCTACAACTGTCAGATTTGTGCATACATTAATAATTATATTAAATGAGTGCATACAAGTGTGTAACATCTGTGACGGGACATTCACATGGAATGACAAGAAATGCAACCAATGGAACTCTGTTTGTGAAAATTTTTAAATGAAAAGAAATGTAACCAAAGCAACCCTATTTGTGAATATTTTTAAATTAACAATTTCAAAACTGTGTATGGTGTACTGCGTATTGTTAACCTACATTGTTTTAATTACATGTACCTCCCCACTTCCCCGGCTTATAATACTACATTTCAAATTAAAGTAATATATTCAATACTTTATTAATTAAAACAAATATCAACTACACGTATAACACCATAATACAAATGACATATTTTACAAGTTAACATTTATAAAGAATGTTTGTTTTTTGAATAATTACAAATGTAAGTCTTACATCATGAACTGATGTAACACATGTTACCAAAAACAGACGTACCACTAGTCTTTACTTCAACACACTCAACTCATCATTTGTAAAATGCAGTAATCCACTTGTGAATATCAAAAACAATGTCATTTACATGTGTTGTATTAATGGGTTGAATTTTTAACTGCAAAGATTATTACAAAGTTGTGCATACACTGATTGCAGGTTTATATCTTTAAAACATGCACGTTTCCACAATCCAAAAGAGTTGAGTAGAATCATATCCGAAATGCAGAATTTGATATGTTGAAAAAACCTGTCACCAAACAAGCTCCTCTATGATGGGTCTGACCGTTAGGTGTAAGGGTTGGCTAGCCAAACAGGGACAATCTAATAAGCAGCTTTGCATTGATCTTAAAAGTGTAGCGGTTGAGGTGTTAAAAGTGGAACTATGAATGCCTAAGTACAGTATGAGTTGATGTGACAATGTTCTATTTCTCATGAATGCTTTACATACGCTGTGTGCCAATTTTGCTCATATGTGATATTTCGCTGCTTGGATTTTATGAGCAACTGAATCATAATTCTGAAAATAAAGACAAAAGCTTGCGTCCATAGTTATTGGACTGTATATATAATCCCTAAAAAAATGTAATATACATTTGTGATCTCTTTTGTATTACATAACACTATGAAGATACACATGTTATGCCTGTGTTAAAAGCAATTTAACTAATTTCTGAACATATTTTGATAATTTTGACATACTGTAAAGGTGGAAGAAACTGGCCATTGCACAGCAACAATACAAAACTGTATACAAATTCTGGTCTATTGTAGCTCTGAGATACGACACAAAATAATGATTAATTCTTGTGAAAGGGATCAGCCAGTATAAATGCAAACTTACCAAGTTTTGATGCAAAGGTGGCTCATACTTGAATGCCATGGCTGCTTTGACAAGCGCTGTCACAGCTTCAGCTCCCCATTCTCTCATGCGCTGATGAGGATGCTGACAGACGTCCAATAGATGGCCAGTGACCGGTGTCCACAGTATATCGATACGGGGCAGATTAACCAATCCAGTCTCCAATAATTTGGCAACAGCAAACAATGAAGGCTCCTGAAATATAAATTAGAATTTCCATAAACTGTAAAATATCAATTTTCCTGATTCAATAACTTGAGGGTATCATAGAAGGTTATTCAGATTCTGATGAAATGTTAATTTGAGGATTTACCAGACTTGCAAGAATACAAATTTCAAGCAGCTTACAGCACAACACAATAGAGACTAGAGTCAATTTCATAAAATAAAACTGTTGGGAATGATGTCTAAAAATAACTCAAGTAGGCAAAATTAGTTTACTGAGTTAAGAATGTTAAAATAAATATTCCTAATATACACATTGCCATGCTGCAAAACCAAAAATGTATATTATGCTCTTGCATATTCATTTAGTTCATTTTTTAATGCAATAGATTATAACTTCACTGTTTCTGGGACTTAATTAATAATAGTAATTAGCTTTACATTATTTATTCTAATATAACTGAACGTAAAATTATACTTTCATCGCTATGGTTACACCTAGGACACATGAGTAATTCCAGTATGTAAATGAATAAACAATGTAAGCACATGCACACACTTCAAAGATATGTGTTGTTGGTAAATAATTAACTAGAAAAATGGAAAAAAAGTTAATTTTAATGTACTCTGGTGATTGGTGTAATAAACGAGTCTACCATGATATGAACTAATGAAAAGAAATTAGGTAAATAGATATGAATTTAATCTATCTACTCCCCCAAAGAGCAAATTATACAACAAATCTGACTTACCCTATTAGCATATGCCAACTCCATGGACTCGCACGACAGCTTACACAGAGCATCAATGAGATGGTGAAGAGCAACATCATCCAAGTACTGTGAACTCTCAAATAACCGTGACAACATAGCAGAGAGAATAGGCAACTCGGCCATTACCGCTGTAGTTATGACAGCATTGGGACCATCCGTGGCACTTCCAACTTTCAGACTGCCACCAGAAGCAGGTTTTAGTCCCAGGATCCAAGTTAGATGTTGTAGGGTAGATAGTACAAGATGCCATGCTGTGCCAAGTATTGCACCATGACAGTGAGCAACACTCAGTATAGTTCTCATACATTGAAGGTTCTTTGCTGTCAACTAGATAACATTATGATCTTAAGCCATTAATATATTCACAGACACACATAATAAGAAACGCACACAAACATGTGATTTGGAAATATATCTGTTCAATTCAATTCAATCATCATTATTATAATTTTTCATTAATAAATAATGCATGCTCGAATGTTTTATTATAAATCATGTGAAAATTAATTTAATATATAAATACATAATAAATAAATAATTATTTCAAAAATAATATTAGGTGTGATGTCTCTTTCATTTCAATTTAAAGAGGGTAGCAGTGTCCTTTTGTAGGTTAAGTTACAGTTATCTCGAAATATCGGCTATACCGTAGTTGTATGGAAAACATTCAACAAACAAATGAAACACTACATGCAAATAATTGATACATAATAATATTGCCCAGAATTAAAGAATATTCACAATCTTACTTGACACAGCATAACATAATAGAATATGCTAAAAGTCAAAATGCTTTAATTTCCAAAAATGTATAGTAAATGATAATTACTAGATGAATTGAACACAGTAATAAGAAGACCACCATGACTGCGCCAAACCACTCCTAGATTCTGGATTACCACTTGATTGTTAGGTACACCTGAATCGAGCAGTGGTTCAGTGCTTGAATATGAAATATCCAGAGAAGTTATAATAAAGATAAATTTTAAGTCATGTTGAAGAAAAAATAACCAGACCAGTGACAGTATATTTTATAAACCATGCTTAGAAGTGCTAATAAGGAGATAAACAAGATTTCAAAAATAGAATGGAAATAGGGACTCAATGCGTACCTTCTTGTTAAATCTAGATTATATGCCTAACTATATCTATCTAAATACAACACATTAAGAGATTAACATAGCATTTATACTACATTGTTATTTCTGTGCTTTACTTTATATGTTAGCAGCAGCTATGAGTTTACAATTAATTTTGCTAGTGGACACAAAACACAGTTTTTCTAACAGTAGCACAATGGCTGACAGGAATCACACAAAATGCATGATCAGATGTGATCAGGCATGATTACAACAATAATCAAACTACATGTAATTACTGTCACTTGGTAAATTGATAATTAGTGAAAAGAAAGTTAGTATGAAAATCACTGTGAATGACAAACATTTAGTCCCCCATCCAGTTTTTAGATGTAAATGTTGAATAAGTTCAGCATGTTAATATCTTATTTCAAATAGTCATTGGAATCAAATCACAAAACTAAATAATGTACATCAGTAACCCACCATGCTTGATGTCAATGCCAAGTATGAATGAAATGCCAGGAAAATTGTTGATAATTATACATTTCAAATGTTGATTTTTGCTAGGTTTTCTCAAACAAAAATGCCAGTCAACTGTCAACAAATCGAATAACAAAACTATGTGCATACATTTATGAATCCAATTATAACTTGTCTTTGTACCAACTTTAAAAAAAATCAGTTTATGCATGTTCAAGACATGATGTTGTAAGGACGGACAGATGAACAAACGCACATAACCCAAAACATAAGTCTATGTTTTTGTCCAACTGGGACTGAAAATGACAATGACAACCAATATAGACAGATAACAGGGTTTGAAGTTAAGTATTCTAATGCATCCAATTTCAATACCAAAACTTATGAAAATGCCTGAATCTTATAGAAATTATGAAAGAAATTGGCAGCTTTAAATATTGGATATCAAAACTATTTCATAAACAAATAAAATCGAAACTATCTATAATCAAACTTGTGAGAGAATTGCACTGCAGTGAATAATAGATAAAATATATTTAAATACTGCAAATAAATTATGCATACAGCTAAATGGGGAAATATTAAGCATTAGAATTTGATGAACTGTACACCATTCTCAGGCCATGTAAACTAAGGAAGTTCTACACCACAAAAATCCAATGTTTTATCTTTTTACATTTAATGCCCAGTTATTTTTTTAAAATATTAATTAAACCGTACCTTAAACAACTCGCCACAACTTAACTGTATCCCTTACCCAAAACCTCCATACCAACACCAATTATAAAGTCCCAGTATTAGTCTAGCAGTCCTACTCTTTGCGTTTATCACTATCTCATCTACTCACCATGACAGGTCCTTGTTGAGTCCCTAGTACTGTAGATAATGGAGTGCCTACTGCTACTACCTGATTACGGCTGTCTCCTGTATCCGCTGCTCCAGCATCTGCTGCAGTATATGATGACATGTTCAGGAGGTTATCCTTGCTTGAGGTTCTCTTATGACCTACAAATTAGGAATGGGATCAATTATGCTATATACATGGAAATCAGCTCAGCATAGTCTTGTCTTGATGGTACAGAATATGTAATGCAAGTACATTGCACAGACGGAAAATGACAGTGCTCAAGAATTAGCATAAGATTGCAATGGACCAAGTGTTCCATGATAACGCAAAATCTTTTTGATTTGTTTTGATTTTTTAAATAATACCAATGTTTGTTTTTCAAATAGAATTTTACACAGATACAACTTATTATGTAATAAGAAGACACATGCTCCTCTAATAAAGATATCATGGTAAGTTAACATTTACTCATAACATCATAACTAGGTACATTGAGTGAATGAATTGGAACAGAATGGGACTGAATAACCAGGCATGAGTGCCATGTAGCAGTACTAGCACCTGTATACCAGACCAGTAACTGGGGGCCTTGTATGTTTGAACAGCAGGAATTTTTTAAACAAGGGAACAGGGGCACAGCGCCCTGATGTCATGGCCATGTGCCCCTTACCCTGGGGAGCAGATCCTCTGGCAACCATAAAATTCTGATTGACCAGGGATCACATTTAGCCACAGTCTTCAACTGTGACCTGTCTAATAGTAATTTTGGCACAAAAGAAGCCATAAAATGCTCCATTTTAACTTAAAATTATCAAAAACTCCACACCCTGCTAGGGAGAACCCTATCTCTCTGCTGAATTGCAGTACTTCCTCTTGCAGTTTTTTTCTAGAAAAAACCTGGAACAGTACATTATTTTCTTTTTTTGGATAGCCTTGTCATTTTCCATATGGCAATTCATACAAATGAATGAAAAAAACTGAATAGTTTGAAAACCAGTTCCAATAACATAATGATCTTGTCAGTCAGCAATTTAACTGGCAGTGCTGCTGTTTTGGTGTTTGAAACAATATACCGTAACGATATGACTGTACACCCATAAATGCTAAAAGACTCCCAAAACACACAAAAACCCCCACCACGATTCCAATAAATAAACCAGGTTCATAATTCATGAATATTCATGAGATACTAACACCTACCATCAAGTTCCCACCACAACGCTTTGTCGAAAAAAAATATTATGCAAATTAGAAAAATAAATAGAGAAATAAAAATATTAATAAAATATTTTAAATGATAGAATACACATTAGCATGCATACAAAATTGGGACAAGAACACCAATGTCTGATTTTCCAGTTAACCTTATAGCGAGGTATGTAAATGTGTCGAAATGGGCGTAGTGCGAGTGGTTAGTGCTAGTAGCACTAATCCGAAATAGTACTAGATCTAGTGCTAAAATGGCACTAGATCTAGCGCTAAAATGGCACTAGATCTAGTGCTAAAATGGCACTAGATCTAGTGCTAAAATGTACAT